ACAGAGCGTAGGTATTGGTGAACAGAGCGCAGGGATTGGTGAACAGAGCGCAGGGATTGGTGAATCGAGCACAGGGATTGGAGAACAGAGCGTAAATAGTTTCCTGATTAACCAGTTGGTTAGTTACCTTGCTGCGGGCTCTGATCCTCTTGTAGACAGTGTCGGGGAAAGCCTTCCTGGGGACAAAGCGTCCTGAACCTTCAGTCACGTTGAGTTTTCCGTCCTCCAGAACAACTCGACCACCACTGATCACCACTGATGGCACGCCTCGAAACTCCAAACCCTCCAAGATGTTCACCTCCAGCATCTGTGCACAGACAGGCAGCATGGTGAGGAGGAAGATCAGTTTATGATGAATAATGATGAAGTCGATTATGGATGATGAGGAACGATGTGTTATTACCAGGTTGTGAGTCTTTGCAGAAACAGTTCGTGTCTCCTTTGGGTTCCAGATGACAACATCAGCATCAGATCCTACAGCGATCCGTCCTAAACACACAGAGGACAGAAACATCAGTCTAGCGCTAACATCAGTCTACCGCTAAAATCAGTCTACCGCTAACATCGGTCTACCGCTAACATCAGTTTACCGCTAAAGTCTACAGTCTCTCAGCAGATATCGCTGCTACTGGATATTTGGATCAATGTGGTATGGACTTTCCTGAGGTGGATGTTCAAATTTAACTTTATCTTTAGTAGTTGGATGTGATACCTTTCCGTGGGTAAATGTTGAAGAGTTTAGCAGCGTTGGTGCTCGTTACAGCGACAAACTCGTTCTCATCCATCTTGCCCGTAGACTGCAGAGAGACACAGTGAAGATATATGTGAGGAAGACTCAAAAGCAGTCACCACATGTAAACTTCATCCTGGTCTTGGTAAATTAACTGTATTTGTACAGTTTCCTTTCTAGTCTTTCGACCACTCAAAGTGCTTTTACACTACAGCCACATTCACCATTTAACACACATTCACACAATGAGCAGAGCCCATCAAACAGAAACTAACTCATTCATTCACATTCACACACCGATGACGCAGCACATCGTTCAGTATCTTGCTCAAGGACACTTCGACATGCAGCAGGAGGAGCCGGGGATCAAATCAACAACCTTCCGATTAGTTGATGACCCACTCTGCCTCTGAGCCACAGCCGCCCTGAAACCAATGCCTGAACACTGTATTCAGATGTGATACCAGAGCACTTGTTCACTCATTTAAAATATGTAATCCTCACATTTGGAGCTCATTGGAAGAATTTCTGAGGCTGTCACCATTATAAACTCAGATGGCAGTATGTGTTTGACATATTTTGTAACTCTCTGGAACTGCAATCTGTGATTGGTCAGCTGTGTGGAGGTGAGAAAGTGCCTTTCGATATCCACATTTGTATGATTCATGGTATAGAGACACATTACCACAGCTCTGTCCCACACCACAGACATCCTCTCCTCGATCCCATTGGTTCCCTCTGGGATCAGAGTGAAATCATCTTTACCGACGGCTTTTTGAGCTGTGGAGAAGCTGGCTTGAGCGCTGGATGTCACCTGGAGATCTCCACTTGGAAAAAAAACACATACAATCACCTGTCAGATTCACCGGGAACACCTGTACTGTATTGTTGAGGTGAAAGGAGAAGCTACATTAATGCTAACCATGCTACATTATACTAACCATGCTAACAGAGAGGTCAGGTATAGGGGAGTTGAAGGATCAGGGTTGATAGGTGGGCTCATGACAAAGGCAGCAGCTGTGGCCCAGTCTTTGGACCAATAGTTAGAGCCGTCAGTGGCCAGGCCGGCTGTGATTGGCTCCCCATACACTACAATACCTGATGACAGAAACAGGAGTTTGTTTAAACTACAACAAGAATTCCACCTTACTCTAGTGCAGGGGTTCGTCACTCGTAAGATCTGGATTAAAGGCTGTGATTAAGAACAGGTGAGGATGATGATGTCACCTTTCTTCCTGGCTTTGGCGATGACATCAGCAGCAGATTTGCTCATCACCTTGGTAACGTACAGCGGACAGTTGGCCTGTTTGGCAATGGTAATGGCCCGATACACCGCCTCCGTTTCTACCTGAAATGTAACACACACACATCAGTAATACACAATCAGCAACCTCATTGGCTGCAAATGAATCCAACGCTGTAGTAAAACCTGCAGTTCCTCTAACATCCACTAGAGGCTCCAGCAGTGAGTCAGTCTCCATATTAAACTGCAGAAATAAAATTTTTTACAGCCTGTTGGTCTCTAAAGATCATTTCCCTGTTCATAACAGCTGTACAACTCACCCCTTTAAATTATATTATATCATATTTATAGGATTAAAGTTATGCAGAATTAAGGGCGTGGCCACTTTGAGTGACAGGCAGTAACCAGGCTTCATGTGACGTCATTGAAACTATGGAGAGTTTTATTCACATAGTCTGTGATTAACACACATGGTCATTCCAATAAACCAAAACATATTTTATTTATATCACACTGGGTATGACTGGATATGGGTTATATGATAGTGTTTTTACGTGTGTTACAGGAGTAATTACAGGTGTGTGTACCTCCTCAGGGTGAGATAAAACGTGTCCTTCAGGTCCAGTGATGCCGAGACAGAGAAGCTTCTTCTGTTCCTGAAACAAAAAACAGTTTAAATTCAGTATAAAAAATATAAAGGTAACATTCACTTCCTGTTCCTGAAAAGCTCCTGTCTCATTCAAGCTGTATTACCTCATCAATGATGTCACCATTCTCAGCATGAACCTGTGCGATAGCTCCAAGATCCCGGAGGACCCCGAATGCCTCGTAGAGCTGAACCCGTAAAACAGGAAGTGGATTTAGTGAAATGAAGAGAAAACATTGATGTATGCAAACTGTAAACAACAACAATAATAATTTCACCTGAGAGTCGGAGCTCTGGTATTTGTCTTTGTAGGTCATGAAGAAGAGGAAGGAGTTCACACCTGGAACACAAACAGTTTTATCTCACTGATTCCACCTTTAATGGCTCTGACCTCTGACCTTTGTCTCTAACATCTGATCTTTGTCTCAGACCTCGGACCTTTGTCTTTGACCTCTGACCTTTGTCTTTGACGAGTGTCTCCAGCTCCTCGTACAGCCCTTCGTGCCAGCGAGTGACGTCCAGGTGGAGACAGAAGTCGCAGCATGCCCTCTGCTCCGCAGTCTCCCTCCACTGATCAAAGGCTGACAGTAAACTAGTCCCCGGCTCCACCAGCACGTGGTCCACTGCGAACACAAGAGTCACTGTTAGTGCAGCTGATCCACCCGATTAACAAACAGAGGATCAGCTTGAAACACCCTTTGCATCAAAGTGATGGTAACCTCTTCCTGGGGGGGGGCACTCTACTGTACAGTACAGACGACACAATGGTGTATGTTCACTCTCATGTGTTCACACTCTGATGTATGTTCACTCTCGTGTGTTCACTCTCTAATATATGTTTACTCTCTTGTTCACTCTCTAATGTATGTTCACTCTCGTGTTCACTCTCTAATGTATGTTCACCCACGTGTTCACTCTCTAATGAATGTATACTCTCATGTGTTCACTCTGATGTATGTTCACTCTCATGTGTTCACTCTGATGTATGTTCACCCTCTTGTTCACTCTCTAATGT